ATTAAGAACCAAAACCATGTTAGAAACTCAAAACAAGCATCTGAAGGCATAGTTGTTCATTGTTAGCAACCATAAAGTCAATGCATTGTTGCACAAAAAACATAAGTTACAAAATTTGATTGAATGATTAACCAAAAATAATAGTAATAATAATCCCTTATATATTAATTGGAGAGTGATTTGTAAGAATATGATTATGTGTCATCTCCACAATCATTTTCACTAAACAAATTGTGACATTGACTTGAAAAAATTATGACATGGCAACTTTGAATTAATAACAAAAGTTTCTACAACTTTGAACTTTTGAAGATTTGATTCGTTTATAAAACAAAATCTTTAGTGTTTTGTCAACAACAAAAGCATTAACAGCTTTTGGATGGACCATTATTGGACCTTATCCCCCATCCACGCTCTAGTTGAGTCCGCAGACACTTAGACGTCAAGGCTGCTCATGCGACCATGTGTAAGCTAGCGAGTTAATATAAGCTAGCATGCGACCATGGGCTATATCTAGCGAATCCTATCTCATTCACTGGGTAATCCTTTTTTTTTGTTTGATTGAAAATAGAGATTTATCCCATTTCAACGAATTTAATGGCATTGAAAACGTCTATGATATAGCCCCTGTTCAAAAACGCGGGTTCGGCGGCCGTTTAATCGGCGACGAGGCGCTGTTCGGATGAGAACCGCCGCGATTTTGCTCTATTCGCCCAAAAAATCGGAACCTTAAAATTAGTTTTTTTGTTTGGAGAGTTTTAAGCTTGAAATCTGATATTTCTTCGTAGATCTCTCTTACGTTGATAAAATTATAGGATTAACAAGCAAATCTCAAAGAAAAAAGCAAAAAACAGAGAGGCGGCGTGGGAATTAGGGTTACATGTTCGTGACATTGAAGAAGAAGACGAAGGTACATCCGTCTTTTCAATTAATTAAACTGAATCAAAAAAAAAGACAGAAATGGACACAGAGGAGTCGTACCCAGGTTTCTAGGCCTACCACATTGCACTTGTACCATTATGCTGAGCTATATTCATTGTATCTAGCAAATAATTTAATATATATAGATATATGTAGATAAAAGCACA